GACATTACACCAAATGTCAAACTCTCATACGCTCACGTGTAGTTAACTGGAAATGGCGGGGCATTGCTTTTGAATTTCTCTTTGAGGTAATTTCTCTACACTGATGTACAAATGAGCATGTATGTAATTACTTTACCTCAAACAAGTAATGTTATCATGTTATATGTGACCTGTATGATTACTTGTGGCATAAGGTTTCTTGGAAGCAACTTGCCATTAATACCCATTTAATCGTTATTTATTTACATGTGGCATTCGATGTAGGTTTCCCTGTACAGTCGTCCAACTGCACATCAAGGGAAACAAATCTTGAACACTTATCATTTTAAACTAATGTCACTGCTGGACAATGGCTTCATTTAGAGATTTCCACGAAAACCGGTCCTGCGCTGCCTGCATCCAGGTGCTCTTATCAGGTCACAGGTCTTTAAATATATGTAATATATTATATTACATATTTATCAATGAAAAATTATGTGGGTACGATTGTATTAGGTATATTTTTATAGTACGTGTAGAGCATCAGTGATTGACGCCTGTATTCATAAACGATGCTTGCTTAACGATGAAGCAGCAAATCGAAGGCACAGCGTTGAATAGAGCTTTGCGATTGGTTCGTATGTCATCCTGTACGTCCACGCGCACTGTGAGACCTCGTACTTAGTAATGTTTGTAAATACGGGCGTGAGAAATCTACCTTTACCTTAGCCAATTATTGTGGTCCCCTGACGTTTCATTCTTATACCTAGCGGCGAACAAGCCCACTGTTTTCAATTTTAGCTTACCCCCTACATGAATACTCAGATTACACACAGACATTGTAAGGTGGAATTTTAATTAGATTTAGAACAAATACGCTCAACGGAGCGCAAATTGGGTCGCATAACAAAAGACAAGGGTCAACTACATGAGCGTGCGAGTTTTTTCTCGTGCAAATCTGTTTAAACCGAGCGGCTCATAGAGTTGCGGCTTGGCCAGTAATGGACCCCGGTTTATTAGTTTAGGACCCTATTACAGTACGGTGTATAAGCACAAAGGGGCTTTATTAAAGGCCAGTCGGTGCGTTCGCTTTTCGTGACCATTTTTTGCCCCAGCTCGGAGGATAACTATGTTTGGGTGACATCTGTTGTTTGCACGGCTCGCCGGTCAAGCAAAAACAATATAAGACCAGGGCTTACAGGAACACTGACTATACTGCTTCCTCGATTGTTTTAGAACAATACGTGACGTTCATACGAGCGTCTCTACGCTAATTAATAAAGTTGCTTATGAGTCTAATGTTATGTAAGTTAATGAACTCCTGCTTGGAATATCCGGATATAGACATTACATGTTAGTACATGAGTTTCAGTTTAATATAAGCTATATTTTCCAGCAGATCATGATACGATTCAATTTATACCCTAAATTGAAGTACATATTTATATAACGTATTAAAAAAAAAACATATTTTCAGCCAAATAACGTCCACTGCTGGACTTCGTCTTCGAGGATTTCCACACCGGTCGGTTCTGCGCTGATCCAGGTTGAGGTGCTACAAAAATGAGCTAGCTAAGACAAGTACTCAAATTCTACAGGTTCAAAGTATTCCAGGACTTAAATCCGCTGGGACAAGCTTCATGATTAGTTCACTAACTTACATAAATAATTTTGTACTGAACCTAAAATGCAATAACGTAGAGCTTAATTTGAAGTGGCGTCTTAGATTACTTGGTGAATTAAAAGAGCGTTTTGCCAAGTTTTTCCAGCCAAGTCGAAGGATAACTGTGTTTGGCCCAGCGACATCTGCTGTTTGTACAGCTGAACTAGTCCGCAAAAACAATATGAGGGCAGCTTCATAATTTAAATGTATGGAGTAAGCTCACTTATGCATTTGAAGCTTCTTTGTCATCGATGATCGGACACTGTAATAGTAATAATGTATGTCAAAGATCATCAATGTGACAGAAATGTAGGTATATTATATTGGCTGCGTTCAGACGAAACTTTCATCGTTAGAATTTGCTAACAAAATGGAAACTTTAGCATGTTTTCGGCTAGATCACGTTTGCTAAACTTCAAAAGTGACGTTTCCCATTACATTTTTTTGACAGTGACAGCACTTACCGCTAAAAGGACGTCATTTTACTTCTAGCTAGCGCTTTTTTCCGCCAAACGCCCCAATTGTCTTGGTGGGTTAAGGTCTAATGGAACCATATAGTCCATGATGTTAGCATAGGAACTCATGGAATAAAACTCAGGTGCGGGTGTACTGTTTTTTCGTAATTGGGTCTGAAATGCATTCTTTGAAAGAGACCCTACTCTTATATCTCTCAAGCGTGACAGCCGCACCGGCAAAAAACGATTTTTATCAACGTCAACGCGGTGTTTTTATTAGAAACGAATCCGGCGCAATTGGGTTTTATGCGAATTTCCCGTTTAAATCCAACTTTGTTAGAGGGCACTCCGGTTGACTTTTGAAATTGAACCGTTTATAGTGGGAATGGGCTTTTGAGCTGTGCGCGAGTGCAATGTATTTTCAGTGGTCATGTTTTTAATTTTAGCTACATAATTGGAAACCCGTATCTGTTCTGACTGGTTAGTAGAAACATTTATATCTCTTAAAACAGTTTGCGTCCCTAACTTAGCCACGAGTCCTTAGCTTAACCACTGGCCAGGTCTAGGTAATTTAGCCAAGCCAAATCCTCCATTTGCTTCTGGTGAATTAAAGATAGCCAGTTCCTCTGTGGTTGAGGATTCCGAGTGAAGCTCGCTTTCACCTTTGGCCTGATCATCAGTTACCATCTGGTGAGATACAGGCCAAGAGCTTCCTCGTTGTGGGTAAAAAAAAAGATAGTCGTCCTCCTGCTGTGAAGACCAAAGCTGAGTTGCATGACTAACTTTAGCCGTAAATATACATTTAACTGGTGTTTTTTATGAAGTTTGACAGACTTTTGACGTTTATTATAGTATGTTAAGATGGTGCAACCTAGGGTAAGTAACTATGATGATTTGCGAGAAATTAACGAACAAGTCAAAGTGCAACCCACTCTAAATCTTCAGCACAATTTCAACCCGATGCTTTCCAATTAGTATTAGCATACGGCCTGATCATAATAAGTCGCAATTAAATTATATGGCTTGCATCCAATGATCCCTGCGCACTCGTAATAGGGTCGGCTAAATGCAATTAACGCGGCAATGTGATTGGCTCGAATGAGAATTACGCCGAATAGCGTAAGCTTGATTCGATGGCATTAACGCGTGCGATAAGTCAGAGGAAAAATATAATTGAGTAGGTACAGTCAGAGTTAATACAAATGAGTAGGTTATGTAAATATTGTCAGTGTGTGCGTGCGCGTCGCATACGTATTGGCGCGCTTACATAAAAACCGCGCTCGGTGCGTTTCTATGAAGATAACCTACTCATTTGTATTTACTCTGGTACAGTCGACAACATACCGGTCTTACGATGTAGGTACAATGTAAGACTCTTTTTGTCGCAAAATAACTCCTATTAATTTTTTTTTCGGCTGGCCACCCTGGCTGNATCAGGTAACCCATATTTGTTTGCTCCAATCCAAAAACTATCCCTTAAAAACAGAGCCCGCGAAGACAACAATAAGTATTTTCAATTTCCAACCGCCATAGAAAGGCCTAAACGAAATCTATTATGAAATAAATTAATAACCAGCTGTAGGAAGCCAATTTTTCTATCCATTGTGCGCGGGATAGCTCTGATACTGAACAATGGGGGCAACAAAGGGGGCTGTACAATACGCTTTCAGGTCAGAGTACGAGCGTTATTTTGCCGCTTTACGGTAATCGTCGCGTCTGTGCCACCTGCTAGTCGCTGGTTGGCTTGTTTAGAGTGTCAAATGTTAAGTTTAGTCTCTATAGCCTATATATTTTTACCTATTTTGCGAGCGCCTTTGTTTAATAGATACTAGTTTGGGAATTAAAATATAAACTGGCTTAGATGGGACTCGAAACCGTGGACTAGCGCTAGTAGAGGAGTCTCAGTACCGAGCTACAGAAGTCTGTAAATCGATTTGTATTTTGTAATATCATATTTTTTACTTTGAAAAGTTTTTTATGCTGAATAAGGCAAATCAAAATTAAATCACACTTGGGTGTTAAGTGAAATGCAGGCTAGGATGGCAGTTGGCACTTACCGGCCTTGTGTGTTTATTCACTCGCAGCAGGCAGCGAATTCCAATCTCAAACTGTTCGCATTATAAAAGAGTTAGCGAAACGCTTAGGCTGAGTTGCACCATCTTATTTTTACTTTGACAAACGTCAAAAATCTGTCAAACTCCATACAAAACGCACCGGTTATCGTCATAGTTACCGTTAAAGTTAGGTGGTGCAACTCAGCCTTAGTGTAGATAGCTATCATCAAAACGAAACTTCTGACCATTATAAATTATAACACTGTCTCTAACACGAAACTGAAGCGAAATAAATAAAACACCTTCATTAACAGCACTAAACCTTTCAGTGGACAGATTCGTGCTGGCTCCAAAACAATGGCGCTCACCCCTCGCATATTCATCGGCCATTATTATTGCGGCGCCTGAAATATTCAGCGGGCGCCGGCTGTTACCAGATACTATTTTAGACTGGCTAAGATGGTACTCGAACCCGTGAACTAGAGCTTGCAAGAGACTCACCACTGAGCTACAGAAGTAATGTAATCGTATTAATAGTTTATTTAGTAAGTAATGTACCTAGCAATATCTATTTTTTTACTCTGTCAAATGGCGTAAATCTTTTTTTAATGCAGAATTAGGCAGGTATTTGACCGCGATTACACCTGATGTTAAGTGTGTTGCAGTCTAGGATGGTACATACCTGCCCCCGCCTTGACGAGGCTCGGATTAAATAGTGTTCGGGAATAAATACCTATTGGACATTTTACACTACGTTTCTAATCCCAAACTAAGTAAAGCTTGTACTATGATGGGCACTAGACAACGTATATAAACATACTTAAATACTTAACTTTTCGGCTGGCCACCCTGGCTGTCAAACGTAGTTAGGACAGCTCTTATCTATTTTACATTAATTTTAATATTTAATTGTATTTTTCAAGTGTAAAACATTGTAAATCAATACATTAAAACTTAGTTTAGTGAAATTACCACAAAAATCAAGCATTCAACCCATAACTGCAACGAAATAATGAAGGAAAAATTTACCGGCCAGTGACATGACATGACGATTTTGAAAAATCGTCAATACAACAATTAATTAAAACAGGGGAGTATTGTTTTCATAATCTTTATTTAGAATTAAGTTAAGTGTTAATTAGGACTATATTTCTAATACTGAGCCTAGTGTCTCAAATAATAAAATATCTAGTAATTGAGCCTAACCTCAACTTGTAAACAAAGTTTATACTGCATAAATTCATAGGTCCTTTTTAGTTTTTCAGTTGTTTAATAATATTATATCTGACACACCTCTAATTCGAGGAAATCATTGCATATAACGGTGTTCATAATTAAATTTTACTTGAAATTGAACAAGAGCAAAGTGATATTGAAACCAACTGTTACAACAGTTTAACACCTTTATAACTTTATTACTTTTACCTTTTACATATGGCTATTATAAAACTTTGCCTGTAATTTGTTCTATCCCAGGGAAATCATAACACGCATTATTGAAATTTAAATTAGATAACTAATTACCCTCAAACTAAAATAATTTAGTAATTGATTCAAAATCTTCATATTTTATGATTATCAAACTAGAAATATTTTTAATAATAATATTTAAAAGAAACACAGTCAAATTCTTGACTAATTAATATAGCCCTGGTAGATTAGATTATTTCAAAACTAAGTTATATTTTATAACTTGTATTGTACACCCTTCTTTGATAATTTTCAGCGGAGGTCAATTTCACATCATGCTTACCCGCAAGGCAGCCGCACAAAATACAGAATTAAAACTCAAGAGGGCACTCGAAGAACTAAAATCGAGTCAAGAAACCTGTAATCAGCTTATCAGGGAGAGAGAGGAGAGTGAAGAAGATATCCAGAGTATTATAAACAAAAACACTCATCTCAAGAAAGATTTGGCTGAATTGCACACTCGCTACCAGGAAGTCTCCGAGCACCGGGATAGCCTGCTACACACCATCAGCACATTTGACCAGTGCAGTAATGTCTACGAGCAGGCCCTGACTCGCAATCATGAATTGGAGGCAGAGCTGCGGGATGCCAACAAGACCATTATGCACCTCGAAGATGACAAAAAACAACAGGAGTTCGCTCACACACTTAGTTTGTACGATGAACTGATTGCGAGCCCCGGAGGTCACGAAGCGGCCTCAGACATGAACTTGTCCTGTAAAACTGGCCATCTTGGGACTAGAGACCAGAGATTTGAATTTTCAAGCAAGAACAAGTTAAAAAAATATATCAAAATCAATAGGTATATTACAAAAACTAAAAAATTAATAAAGAAGCAAGCAGTCTTTTATAAAAATATCTCACTGAGGAAAAAACGCTTAGATTTAATTGATTCTTTAGAAATTTATCATGATAAATTAGTGGAAAGTAGGTCAAATCATGCCTCTGACATTGAGCGGCTGGNATTCAGAAGCTCCTCTAGATCTTGAACACCCTCTCACCCATGAGTAAAGAAGTAAGCAGTCTTTTATAAAAATATCTCACTGAGGAAAAAACGCTTAGATTTAATTGATTCTTTAGAAATTTATCATGATAAATTAGTGGAAGGTAGGTCAAATCATGCCTCTGACGTTGAGCGGCTGGAGGCTGATATTGGTGATTTACATAAGTCTTTAGAACTTCTATCTTCTAAATACCACTCTGCCCAGGAACAAATCAAAGAACACATCCTGGCTGCATATAATCTTTTGCAATTAAGTACATGTAAATTGCCAAAAAAGCATCAACCAAATGTTTGCCTTAGGCCATCAATGTCAAAACCATCAAGAAATGTTGTTATACTATCAGACAGTCTAGGGATAGGTTATGGGCCACTGTTACANCAGTCTTTTGCTTTCATTTATTGTTAGTCTAACATAACTACGCTATTATAACTTCAAAATATGATTTACTAAAAAAAATTTCAAAATTCTTTGGTAAAGTTCCATACAACTTGATGTGGTACAATTTAGCCGACTAGGTGATAGTGCTTTTAAAAAATCGGTAAAAAATATAGCTTATAAATACCGAAAAATGTTTCAAATAATTGTAATCCACACTAATTTACGCTTTTAAATAATATATTAGAAACACCCTGTGATTAAATTTAACAAAATTACAAACTAAACATGTATTGTCAAATGTTACTTGAAAACAATGAAAAAATACTTTTCAAAATAAAACACACGTGTTTGTTGTCACGGCAAAAACCACATGGCCGATATTAATTGATTTTAGTTGTGTATCGCTAAGTGTTGCAATTACAGACATTCAATAAATACTTTACGAAATATGAGGGTGGTACAATTTACCCGGCGGTACAATATACCGAACTCTCCTGGCTTATAAAATGTATTTAAATAATACTATTATATTTATTGAAATCATTAATAAAAGCTTTTGCTGTCCAATTTTTTGCTAGAACTGCTCTAGCACTTAGGTGCTGCACTTAAGTGTTTTCAAGTCGCAAACAAGGTCCGTGTCATGATTTCGTAGCTGACTCCACGCAGACAGCATTTAGTCGCGACACTACTATTTAGTTTTTCTGTATTTTCATCAACACCTAGCCTAACTGCTGCTCCCTACAGTCCGCTTCGAACTTGTCTTTAATGTTAGAACATAAATAAATATACTCACTCAGCCTCTTCGATGGTCTCCGACATGGCGAGGAAGACACAGTTGAGCAGAATGGTTGCCATGACGAAGTAGTCGAAGTACTGGTTGGTGGACAGGTAGACGCACGCGCGCCGCACCGGCGACCACGGCGACCACCAGAACAGCGACCTGGTGGCCGTGAACCGGTGGATGTAGTTCTTGCGGAACCGCTTCGACACCACACAGAATGTCTGGAACAAGAGAGAGGTTTCTAAAGATATGTTAGGAACAAGAGAGATGTTCGGTATCTACTTGCCCCACATTATGTTTTTGCATAGGTACTAAGTGTGAGGTCTATACCATTTGTAGAGATTTGCCACCCTTTTTGGGAATCCCCTATTTTTACGCTTGAATATTTGAAGCAAAGGTCTAGTTAATACCATTCAGAACATAAATGAACAGTATTCACGTCAGCACCATAGTCCAAAATTACCTGCCACTGTGTTACTATATCTGCGAACATTTCACGTTAATTATTTGTCTGTATTGCGATTGTATAATACTCGTAATTGCAGTGAAATATGCAAAATTGCAAAGTTTGAGATGCGGAGTTTTCGTACAGTCGTTGCATGGTTTGTTTTACTAGTGCGCTTGTTCTGTTTTAAAACATTGAAACAGTAAACATACACTGAAAAATGGCCACAATTTTTGTTAAATAGCATTGGCAAGCTAATTGAGTAATTCCCTGAATGCTTCCTCATATCAAACTTGTGAGTACTAAACTATTTATTTTATGGATTTTAGATGAATTAGGTATATCGTGGCAGCCCAATGATCTTTCTATCAAACAAAAACCCTTTCCCTTCAAAACGTATAAAACGCCTTTTAGTAAAAAAACAAAGTGATAGGTGATAAATTGTCGACAAACCATGACAAAGACCAATATCCCCCTCATCTTGGTGCTACTACATATTGTCCTGGCACCGTTTGATCCGTCGAAATCTTGTTAAAGACGAGCTATTCTCAGAACGATTAGACACGAGCTCAAACGCTCGAGCACCGAGGTAGGCATTGTCCTGCCACTTTGAGTTGATATTTGTTAACCCATTCATTGCCTATTGATACCGAAAATTGTCTTTGACGATGTTTATTATTATGCATTGGGAATTTGCGTCCAGTGGATTTTGGAGTGTTTTTATGATGGCTTTTGCGTTATGGGCATTACTGACAGTATTCTGTTTTTTGTTACTGTTAGATGACTAATACGGCTGTGTCATGAATATAATTTTGATATTTTATTGATGCTTTTGCATAAAATGGGAAAGTATTTTTTATTGAATTGGAGCAGCGTCAATTTCATGAAGTATCATTTTTTTGTTAATGATGTTAAATCTCATCTAAGGCTAATATATTTTTTTAATTAATAACCACTCATAAAAATTAAAGAAACGGGAGAGTCTTTGATATCTTCACTTGGCATCCAAAACAAACATAAAGTGGCAAAATCCCCCATGTCATTGAATGGGTTAACTAACATGAGCTTTCCCACAATTAATGGCTGAACCTGACCAAGCGCAACATGATACGGTCATGGTCTAATACCCGGCTTAGTCGCTTATTGCAATATCAATCACCAAACAATAGTGGTTGATACCGGCAGTAATATAACACTCGGCGTCAAATAAATCGCACCTCCTGCGACAAGCACTTTCAAACGTTTGCATGCCCACTTCACACCATTTGAAAGCCTAGTTCTAAGCTTCATTTCATTAAAGGAAAGGTTTTTACCCCAAAAATGTGTCTTTAGAAGGATCCAGCCAGAGTCTCTTCCTTAAGCGACAGCTAGGTAGTTACGCTTGAGCCAACTTTTACGGTTATAAAACTGTCAAATTGGGATTAATCGCTATGCATCTGTTAAAGAGGATGTTGATCTAATTGGTCCCAGAGGTGAGCCCCAAGTGAGGCTATTTTCAAGTCACAATTTTGTATACGTTTTTTTATTGGGCTTTCAAATAACACCAATATTGGTGGGGCAACATATTTGTGTCAGAAGAAAATCTTTATTGTCGCGGGAGGTGCGATTTATTTGACGCTGAGTGTATTTGCTAGCATAATGACTATGACAGCAGATATCGTTCAAGTGTGCACACAAGCGGTTAATGCTGGGATGTCGGGGAACATTATTGATAATGTACTTGAGTTGTATGTTAATTGATAGGTGCTGTTTATTTCGAGATGTTTGTTAAGTAAGTACTTAGAGGTAGATACATAACTCGGAGTAAGTTATGTAATTAACAGAATATATGAAATATTACGTGACGGGAAGTTAATTTCTGTAACACATTTTGTTTCCTAAAATAAAAATAAAATATGTTTGATAAGTACCGAATAGTAAACTCAGCTGTAGAAGTGTAGAGTCAGTAGAAGGAAACATTGATACGATAACTTGAAATTCACTACCTACTGAGTAGCATTACAAATTGAAAATAAATAAAGTTAGGTTGTGTTTCAAAATGTATGTCACTTTTAGAGCATACTCATACTCACTATACGATAAATATAAGATCTAAAACCGTGAACACATTATCGCAATAAAGTTTCCCAAAAAGTGGAAAAGAAAGTCGTCCAAGAAAATCTCGTTGTGACCTACGAATTTATGGTCCCGTTTATCATGCTTGCAGCTGCCGAAATAGGTAGGCCGAATGAATGTTTATGACAAGTAAATCGTCGTGGATGTGCGAAAAACTATGTAAGATCGATGCTATAAGTGGGTATATATTTAGCACAAAATACACAGACAATAAAAAGAGTGGGCGGGGCACATTGCTCATAGAGATGACGGCCCGTGGGGCAGAAAAGTTCTCGAGTGGCGATCACGGGCCGAAAGACAAGCGTGGGCAGCTGAATGCCCAGGATCGATTGTGGTGGAAATCTTTGGGGGAGGCCTTTGTCCAGCAGTGGACGTAATTTGGCGAAAACGAACGAACACAGAGAATCTTCTCCTTTTTTATGGTCTTCATACTCTATGTAGCGATGGTTATATGGTATTTTTCAGGATCCTTTTTGCGTAGGTATAAGTAGTTAGAATTGTTGTATGAACTACCTCCTGGTATTAGATAACTCTAATTCTTAATTTTAAACTTTCGCATTGCATAATTGAATTATTATTAGGTAATATTTCAGTATTACCTATCCGCTTATCGCGTTTAAACCAGTTTAAATTATCTAAATTTTTATATTAGGATACTTTGGTTAGGTACTTGAGACAAGATGGCTGATGGATAGATGGATAAAGCTCAAGGATGATAATTAATACCTAGGTATGTGAGCCCATATCAATGTTAACACAGAGCCAAGGCCCTGTAAAAGTGGTTTCACTGTAGGAAGTGTTGTTGTGAAAAGAGTAATATTTTTAACACATTATAAAAAAGACTTCCGGACAAAAGATGCCCTCTATTCAATAAAAATAGAACCTAATTTGCCCGGACTACACGCACCTTTTCTCCAGGTCATTTGCCAAAGGATCTTCCTTAGTTCGGATGAAAAACTATGTTTTTGACAAGTGAGAAATTATGTCCCCGGGCAGGTAGCCGGCCCGACGGGGGACGGGACGGGACGGGCTGGGACGGGCATGGTCATTATTCAAATACTCACACTTCAAGTACGTCGAAAGCACGACACTACTTGTTGCTGCAAAATCACACCTATTTACAAGTAAATAAGGTGCCAGTGTTTACCATGTCTGCCGAATTAATTGAATTGGCTTTAGTTAAGACATAAGTTAGGTACCTACCTCGGAATGTCAATTCTTAAAACTAAGTTTAAAATGTAAATATTTAGAATTAAGCTTATACTACGAGTATTAACTATTAGATAAGTATAAGTACACGACCTTTACTTACTTAATAGTTTTCTTGGGTGAGATTTTTTTCAGTATGATTCAGTAGATTCAACCTTCTTGCAGATAATACGTGACAACGCAGCAAGCTACTTATTTTTTCGTCAAAAATATCGATTGTTTTAAGAATTACCTGAACATAAATATTTTTATACCTTTAAAATTACCAGGTAGTCAAAAATCAAATCCTAATCAAACTTTTTACGAATAACCTCTCAGGCACCAGTTTCCTTTTACTTTAATTGATTTTCTGAGATTGACGTAAATCCAAAATTGTAATCAATGGCGAGAGCAAGAAGTATTTTATGATCCTGTGCCATAAAATTGGTTTTCTATATGAAAGAAAGCTATAACCTTGTAAAAGCTTGAGCTGACATAATAAGTATTTGATATCCCTTTACGTTATAGGTACTCGTACTTAGTTGTTTTTTCGTCACACACCACACAAAATAAGGAAAAGAGAGAGAACAATGCTAAGACAACAAAGTACCTTTTAGCAGTTGGTACGGGACTATTCCCACCTCTCGTTACCACCGCTGCAACTCCTGTGTAGCCAAGTAGCCAGGATCTAACAGCTTGACCGCAGCGCAGCGCAACTTTAGCAAATATTTTTTTGTGGTAACTTGTCAAATTGAGTTTATTAATGCTGTTCAAACTTAATTCTAATAGGCTACCAAGGCATTGACATTGACTTGATCTTATTAGAAATCCTCAAATACTGATACTTACTTACACTAATTAACTTTCTAGCTCATTCATAAAAGTTGAAGCCGGTCATTTGCTTCGTAAACACCAAGTCTAAGTCTAATTGCTGACAAAGGGAACTGCGCGCGGGCAATTTAAGTTAACTACTTCCGCCGCACTACTCTCGGGGGCGATAAACTATGAAGTTGGAGATTAGAAACAAACAGTCCAACAAACGCTAAAGGATCGTAGTATTTACTTTGTTCAACTTTGGGGTGGAAATGAAAACAATTTACACTATTACGGCACGGAAAACTCGGCAGTTACTTTAAGTACGGTTTGTAGGCCCCGCTAAAGTTTACCTGCAGGCTAGCTGCTAAATGTGCCTAAATGAAAAGTATGGGTAAAGTATCTACGACATCATTAAATACAATCAACTGAACTTAACTGTCTAGAAATAAAAATGTTCGCCAGGAAGAACAATAATAAAAGTGACGTTCTTGTTCTGTCAATCGTTAGTTCGTTCGTTTCAGCCGAATGATGTCCACTGCTAGGTCTTCCCTAAGGATTCCCACAAAGATCGGTCCTGCGCCGCCCGCATCCAAGCACCTCCCGTGACCTTCACCAGATCGTCGGTCCACCTAGTGGGAGTACTGCCCACACTACTTC